GAGAGAGAGAGAGAGAGAGAGAGAGAGAGAGAGAGAGAGAGAGAGAGAGAGAGAGAGAGAGAGAGAGAGAGAGAGAGAGAGAGAGAGAGAGAGAGAGAGAGAGAGAAATTTATGTTATCAGTGATTCCAATTTGCCAAGGAGAAATCAATAACAAAAAGCTTAACATTTTGATTTTGCTTACAATGAAGAGATGACTCATCTCATAAGAATCAAAAATCATATCAAGACTGTTACAATGTCTTTCAGGGAGCAGTCAGCAGCTCAGACCAAGCCCTCTGATCTTGGTAAAAGGTCAGGAACACCATCAAGGTCCACAAAAGGAGTCCCAAAGGTTAAATTTGTCTCTTATGAGTCTCTGCCTGCCAGTAAAGGTAAGTTTTTATTTTTTAGTATTATCTGGTAGAAAAAAGTGAACAATTAAGATTTATTGAAAATGAGACAAGAGTTTTAAAAAGATTTTGAAAATATCTCATTTTTCAGTAGATCGTGTTTTTGAAAAAAAAATTGTTTATGAGTTGTGGGTTTTTATACCATAGTATTAACCCAATAGAGTGTTTTACCATTCATTATTATCACTTTTTTCACTAAATGAAGAAAGATTTGTTCTTTTTTCGTTGCATACATGTTGAATGTGTTTTGCCTCTACAGTTTATCTCCTTCCCTTTTTATCTTTCTGTTTCTCTTCCTCTCCTCCCCAGTATTTTCCCTCTTGTATGTATTCTCAGTAGTGCACTAGTAAAAAACAACTTGCCATATCTGGTAACGTCTGAATTCCAGCCAAGCTTTTCTTGTGTGAGCTGTGTGGGATGAAGCTCTCCACAAGGGAAGCAAGGAGGAGGCACATCCTAGCCAAGCACATCAAGGAACGGAAGAATTTCTGCAAAATCTGCGGGAAGGCCTTCATATTCAAATTGTGAGTTGCAGTCTTATGTTCTCGTGTTTTACCTTTGATATGGTTTTCTTTCTTCCCTTATTTAAAGGAATCAGAAAGATGTAATGCCAAAATTCAAGCATAAAATTGAATGGTTTATTTTCTTTCTGTGTGATACATTGTATTATTTCATACTCTGACTCAAAAAATGTAATATTTCCAGTGCCCTAAAAGCCCACAAGGCAGTACACTCAGATAATCCACGCTTCAACTGTGTGTGCGGTATTTCATTCTCTGTGCGTGCATCGTACATGGACCACATCAAGAGAATCCACAGAGCTGCTTCTGAGATGAAATATCCATGTGAACTTTGCTTCAAATCCTTTGGTGGTATGAAATCACTTTTTTTTTTTTTTCCTTCTCCTCTCCTCTTCTTCTCTTCTTCCTCTTCTTTTCCTCCTCTCCTCTTCTCCTCCTCCTCCTCCTCTCTCCTCTCCTCTCCTCCTCTCTCCTCCTCCTCCTCCTCCTCCTCCTCCTCCTCCTCCTCCTCCTCCTCCTCCTCTCCTCCTCCTCTCTCCTCCTCCTCCTCCCTCCTCTCCTCCTCCTCCTCCTCCTCTCCTCCTCCTCCTCTCCTCTTTCCTATTTCCTCCTCCTTCTTATTTCCTCCTCCTCTCCTCCTTTTTCCTCCTCCTCCTCCTCCTCCTCCTCCTCCTCCTCCTCTTATTTCCTCCTCCTCCTTATTTCCTCCTCCTCCTCCTATTCCTCCTCCTCCTCCTTCTCCTCCTCTCTCCTCCTTATCCTCCTCCTCCTCCTCCTCTTCTTACTTTGTAATGCAGCTGTTCTTTGTGTATCTTGAGTTTTTAGGTCTAATTTATTGGTCATTTCAGTAATTGCCTTCATTAATTTCTCTTTGAGAGTAGCTATTGAAAAAGAGATTTGTGAATTCATAAATATGTGTTCAGCATAGAGATGCAAAGAGGCAGGAGCCTGTTTTATGATTGAAACTTGCTCATGTAAGTTTTAAAGAAGCCAGGCTATACGAGCAGATGAAAATATTATATAAAAGAGAATTTAGTATATATTCCTATTGGGACAGAACAGTAGTGGCAGGTGTAGGATGTGTCAAGGACAGATGGTCTGGGTAGCAAGGGATCACCCAGGTTTTGGTATTTCCAAAAAGAAGCTATTTTAACTAATTATTTTCTCCCTACTGTACAGATCGCCAAACTCTGCGGATCCACTTGATATCAGTCCACAAGCCAAAGACGATATCTTGCACCCAGAAAGGCTGCAATAAGGTCTTTTCCACAGTTGGCCTCATGAGAAACCACTATAGGTAAAGAAGCCTGTTTTCTTGTACCAGCATATTATAAGATTAAATTCGTAAAGGAGAAATATTTAAATCTAACAAACAAACAAAAAATAGTGTTATTATGGTGATTACATGTATTATTATTGCATATGTGCAGGTACCACCTCAATCGAAAATTCACATGCGATGAGTGTGGGCGAAGCTTTTCCACAGAATCCTACATGTACAAACATCGTCTCACTCATTCAGGTACGGAGGTATTTACATTTTGGTGTTTGATGGATAGGTGATTGTTGGTGGTTGAATCAAGGTGTGTATATCTAATACTACTACTTTTCTCCTGTTTGTTTGATTCAATTTATTTTGCTGTTGAACTTTCATTATGTATAGGTTGCTTGATAGGCTAAAATAGAGGTTTAGGTTATCGAAAATGGTTTGCAGTTTTGTAAGACGGTAGTGTCATATTTGGGCTATTGAGTCTAAAGTCTACTACCGGAATTAGTGAGGCCATTTGTGATACTGTTGTCATTGTTGTTATATAGTCTTTTTTTTCTTGTGTAATTGATAATAGTCTATAAATTATTAATGATCCCAAAGACCTCTTTTGTAATGTATCATGTGAACTGATTTAATATATATCTGCTAAAGCATCTTCTGTAAAATCAGAATTACAATGCTACTTCTTTCAAATTATTCTTATAGTATAAGTAACAGAGAGAGAGAGAGAAAAAAAGAAAGTCACCAGGTAGGGGAATTTACCAAATTCTGATGTAAAATTATTATCAAATTCGCACCTTTTTGATAATTGTCTTTTATCCTTTATGTTGAGATAAACTTACCGTGCATTTCCATTCTGCTGTAACCCTAGGCATACGACCACACGTCTGCGTTGACTGCGGGAAGACATACTTGAGTGCGTCCCATCTCAGCAAGCACAGGCGCATGGCCCACTCCACTGCCAGACCCTTCCAATGCTCCTTCTGCGGGAAGTGTTACAAGACCAAAGATCAGGTCAACTATCATGAAAGTAGCCACAAAGGTCAGGTTAATGCATTGAAGGTGATGCATTATGTTTCATTATTTTCTGTTGTATATTAATATATGTATATGTATATATGTGTGTGTGTGTGTGTGTGTGTGTGTGTGTGTGTGTGTGTGTGTGTGTGTGTGTGTGTGTGTGTGTGTGTGTGTGTGTGTGTGTGTGTGTGTGTGTGTGTGTGTGTGTGTGTGTGTGTGTGTGTGTGTGTGTGTGTGTGTGTGTGTGTGTGTGTGTGTGTGTGTTGTGTATATATATATATATATATATATATATATATATATATATATATATATATATATTATATATATATACACATACACACATATATTACATGACATATATATTTATTTGTTCTTTTTATAATGGTACATTATGAAAAAGGGTTGGGACACCAGAGCAGATGCACAGACCTGTCGAGATGCACTTCATACAAATAATACTATTCAATAAATCAGTGTATATGAAAGGAAAACAAATGGACCAAAATTAACTCTAATCTCTGAACCATGTTTTACATAGGTGACCAGACTTATTAGATTCATACTTCTAGCTTGTTAAAAAAGGAGTGTGGTGTTTTAGGGAGGTATCTTAATGAAAAGCTAATGGAACAACCTATTTCAGTGCCACTTATTTCTTTTTGTTAATACATATGGAAAGGGCATACTTTGTGGTATATTTCATCTTGGTTCTGTATTTCTTGCAAGAAACAGTGATGAGACAGGTGCATCCCCAGTGGTTCAAGATAAATGTCAAATTCAGTGGAAATGCAGTTTCACAGATTGCTTGTAGTAGGGCATAAGCCACATGGCAGGCAATCTCCAACCTGCTTAACTTTCCCTTAACCTAATGGCTGCAGATGGCATGGCATACATGTCATGGCCACTTTCATTTTCACACAGAGATAGTTCTACATGTATAGTTACCAAGGAGTCAGTTGTTAGCCCTACCTATCTCAACTGTTTACTCTTTTCCTTGGTCTTCAGAAAGATCCATTTTTATTATGTGATAATTTTTCTTGTTATTAGTCTTTTGATAACAGCATAATCATAATGCCAATAATGATAATAGATTTATCAATATTGATAGCATGAGAAAAGAAAACAAATTCTATTGCAAATCAAAGGAATGGGGAATCAGACATGGTCACTAAGGCTTACTAATTGATTCCTTGGTTAGTATGCAACAAAATTCACTAAAAGCTACAATGGACAGTACATAAGCACACTGCCAATGGGTTAAGGTTGTTTTGCAAAATGTAGGATAGAACCCTTAAACCGAGACAGACCAGACAGATTGGTTAAAATAAGATTTTTTTTTTAATAGCCATCTGTGCTTTCCATGTACTGCCTGAGCAATATTTGTTTAATGTTATGTTATTCTTGAGTGATTTTGAGTAAATTAACTGGTATATCTTTATATTGCTTTAACAGGTGAGAAGCCTTTCCAGTGTGAGGTCTGTGGGTATGCTACATCATACAGGAATACTTACTATGCTCACAGGAAGAAGCACTTTGTAAAAAGTTCTCCAGATAGTACAGCCTCAAATGTACAAAAAAGTTCCATGACTGTACAGAGTGAGTCGTCATCTGAATTAGAATCATCAAAACATGATGATGCATCTGGCAAAGGAAAGAAGACATCAGACACCCCAAGATACAAAGGAAAATCAAAAGATCTTACCAAAACTAAGAGCAGCAATACTCAGAAAAAAGAGGATGTAACCATCATTAAAGGTTCCAGTACAGGTTTGGTTGCTACAAGTGAAGACAGTGTACAT